CTTTTAACCAGTTCTCAATCCAAGAAAGGACCTCCCCTCTTATCCCATGGCCATGTAATTTACACAAGAGCCTTTGGTGAGGGATCTTGTCAAAGGCTTTCTGAAAATCTAAGTATACTATATCTACTGGATCCCCCTTGTCCGCATGTTTGTTAACCCCTTCAAAGAACTCTAACAGAGTAGTAAGACAGGATTTCCCTTTACAGAAGCCATGTTGACTTTTGTCCAACAAATTATGTTCTTCTACATGCTTCACAATTTTATTCTTTACTATTGTTTCGACTAATTTGCCTGGTACTGAAGTTAGACTTACCGGTCTGTAATTGCCAGGATCGCCTCTACAGCCCTTTTTAAATATTGGTGTCACGTTGGGTACCTTCCAGTCATTAGGTACGGAAGCCAATTTAAAGGATAGGTTACAAAACACAGATAATAGCTCAGCAATTTTCCATTTGAGTTTTTTTAGAACCCTTGGATGAATGCCATCCGGTCCCGGAGATTTGTTAACATTAAGTTTTTCTATTTGTTCCAAAACCTCCTCTAATGACACTTCAATCCGGGACAGTTCCTCAGATTCATCACCCACAAAGGATGGTGCAGATTCAGGAATCTCCCCAATGTCCTAAGCCGTGAAGACTGAAGCAAAGAAATCATTTTGTTTCTCCGTAACGGCTTTATCGTCTTTGACCCTTTACAATGATAGGTTACTAGGTGCCCTTTACATTGCCCTTCTGTGAGAGCTGCCACTCCTGATCTATTCACATACAGGCTCCAGCATGTAAATTATTCCCAGTTATAGTGTATGAGCATTATAGCCAGCCACTCTCAGTGCCAGACTTTCTCCAGAAATGTGTGCCTTGTACTGTCCAACTCTCTTCTGGACAACACAAGCTCATATAAAATCTGTCATTTTATTAATACAACATGACATGTACAAATCCTGTTATCCAAATGGAGTTCCCCAAATGCTTCATTTCAAAAACAAAGGTTTAATTAAAACAATAAAACAAGTTAATTAACTTCAAAAGCATAGATCTTGAAGCATAAGTGTCAGAACTGGTTACTAGAAAAACAAAAGTACAATACAACTAATGCCTAACACAGGGGTGGGTAATAATTTTAATGGGGGGGGCCACTCCCAAGATTTTGGCAAGTGGTTAAGGGCTACACTTCCATGGAGAGGGTGTGAGGTAACCCCTCCTGAGGTTGGGTGCAGAAGGCAACTTGGGGTAGGAGACTCGAGTGCAGGATGGGGTGTAGGGTCTGAGAAGGAGTTTGGGTGAAAGGAGGAGTTGCAATCTGGGGCAAAGGTTTGGGGTGCAGGGTCCAGGAGAGGGTATGGGTGCAGGAGAGGATTCTGGCCTGGGTGAGGTGTTCTAGGAGGTAGTATAGGGTCTAGGAGGGAGTAATGACCTTGAAGAAGGGGAGTGCAGAGGGTTTGGAGCAGAGGTGCAGGGTTGGGGAGGAGGTGTAGAAACCATTTCATATTTAGCTAGAAGCCATTCTGTATAACAAAAGCCATTTCAGTTTCCTGTGTCTGCACGTAGGCTAAAGGAAGTAAACTGGCCTTCACCAAGGTGGGAAAAGGCCAAAAGGATGCGCTGTTAAAATGTGTTGTTAAACTATTTTGAGTTAAAGCTCAAACTCCCTCTAAACCTGTTTCTTTCTCTGCTAATAATAATTCCTCTTTAAAGTTCGCTTTAATTTCTTGCCCTAACGTCAAACTTGTTTGGTTAAGGGTATAAAATACTAAAATTAATTGTATTAGCCAGCCTTACTGGGCCCGGCTTTGCTAAAACCATGTTTGGCTCACTTTGCTTTTATTGGCCAATAAAACTGTCTGTTTAGCTGCGTAAACTAAGTGAGGCGTTTGCTTCAACAGAGGTATGGGCGCAGGAGAGGATTTTAGCCTGAGGGAAGGGGGTGCAGGGTCTGGGAGGGAGTTGTGACCTGGGAGAATGGGAGAAAGGGGTACAGAGGGTGGTGGCCTGGGGCAGGTGATTGGGGAGATATGGGGGTGGGTTGCCAGAGGCAGGCTCTGGCTTGGAGGCATTTACCTAGGTGGCTTCCAGCCAGCAGCCCTGCAGGAACCTGAGCTGCAGTCCCAGGATGGTCAGCTGGCTGCTCCATGTGACTCTGCTCTGGGCTTGGGGTGAGGGAGGTAGGAAGGCTTCACACACTTCATCTGCCCCGTGCAAAATTTCTCAGCTACTATTTGCTAGAAACTGGCCAATGAGTGCTGAGATATTTTTCTGGTGGTCGGGGCAGCATGCGAAGCCTCCCTCCTCAGTGTCCAGAGCAGAGAGCAAGTAGTTGTTTAAAGCATGGGCTGTTCTCTACCTAAGGGTCCTGGCAAGGCAGCTGTGGACCGGATCCTGCAGCGTGGTGTGCTGGATCTGGTCTGCTGGCTGCCTCTTGCCCATCTCTGGCCTAACATAATAAACCTGAGTGAATTCAAACCAAGGTCTCTTTCACCTCGTGTTTCAGTAGTCCTGCAAGCTGAACTTCCTTCAGTCAAGATCCCTCCACCTGTCCTGTGCTGCTTCTTTTGTTCTTCAGATATCATGGATGCTGTAGGTAGAGAGAAAGGGAGAATGATGTTATAGTTCCATGCCTTTTTTGAGAAGGATCTCCAGCTGAGGTTCAAGAGATAAAAAATCTTAGTGGAACAAAACCCCAAGCTGTTACTTTTTAAGATGTAGGGTTTTTTTATCGTGTCACTTTACCCACCAAAGAATAGCTATTTGGCAGGTGATGGTCCATTTGGCCTGTTGATACCTGGCTGAGACATCAGTTTGTCTTCTGTCTCTGAGGAATTGATTTTGTTGCTCCTCAGATGGAAATATGTCTTAGTAACACCATACAATAGAATCTCATAACTTTGCATACAATGTTGCCACACACATTTTACCAATTGTGAGTTTTCAAATGATATCTCACAAGATATATTTGTACAGAAAATAATATAGTAGTGTGCAAAAGATGAAGACTACAGAAGTAAAAAGCATCACAGTATCTAGACTGTATCCTAATACAAATAATGATAGGTTGACTCATTTCCTCAGGTACATAAGTGGCTGGTTCAGAGCAGAGGTTGTGGCTGATTGTTGGAAGCACAAGTACTGGGAGATGCGTAATGCTCTAGACATGGTCGGCTTCCAGGAGCAGGTGAGAACCTTGGATACTCTGTCACTGTCTCTTTCTAGACATGCCCACCTGTAGAATCATGGGATCCTTGTTCCTGGCTGCTGTTTCCACACTCAGTTCAGCCCTTTTGCTCCATATCCACTTCCCTTCTTCCGTTTGCTGTGCTGCTCACAGGCTGGTGTATTCAGTTCAGAGCTGCTCTCCTGCCACATACCTGACCTTCCTCTCCCTCCATTACTGTAGGAAGTTTGAAGTTCCACTGGAAGGGGGCTGCGTGTTGCTCATCATATATGTTCCAGTCCTGAAACACTTCTGTTTTGTTTTTTAGGAGCAGGTGGATATGCAGGCAATCCTGGCTGGAGTCCTGTCTCTGGGCAATGTGACCTTCCAGGCCCAGGAGCACAATGGGGCCGTAAAAGTGAGTGAAGCCTCCACAGGATGGCTAAAGGCTGCAGCGGTGAGTCTAGCAAGAGTCTCAGAGGCATAAATTGTAAAGATATCCATGCACAAAGTATAACTGTCATCAAACTCTCATCCCCCTAGATCGGGGTGAAAAGTCTTTTTTGGGTCAGGGGCTGCTGACCCACAGAAAAATCAGTCAGGGCCGCATACAAGTGACTGAGAAGGAAAAAGGCACTCCTCATATTCCCCTCACACATCAGAGCCTAGGGGGGGGTCCAGGCTAGTAGATTTTGTGTGCTCTAGCCCTGTGGGTGGGTAGCAGGGGGCTGGAGTGCCAGCATGCGTTCCCCAATGCGTGGAGGATCCCTGAGCATCGGGGCCAGATCCAGGCAAGCCAGCTGAGGTTCCCCACTCCTGCCCTAGATACTGTTAGGATCTGATGGGTAACCTCTAAGTAATCATCAGTAGAGGGATGGTTCCTGCTGGATTTTTCTGTAGGTAGCTCAGTTTTTTCCAATTTAGGCACCCTCTTTTTATGATGTGACTTTTTGCCTATACCTACATTCTGCACATGTGCATAAAAGCATCAACCCTTTTTTCCTGTTGGTTTGTGTTCCCAAAAACTTGAGGTTCTCCGTTTTTTTATAGGTTGCATATAGATCTTTTTATTCTCATTAGCATTGACACATAACTTGTATCCTGTGGTTAAGGCATGTTTTAAGCACAAATGTGTTTCTGTAGCATTTTTGCAATCTAAAATTAATCTTTTGGCCAAATTTTCAAATTTACCCTCTGGTATATCTTTTCCCATAGTCTTATTACATTGATTTATTTTTGATTACTTATGGTGTCAACATTTTTTATTTCTTCTTCGGGTAGTCCCCGTGGGTGCTCCACTTCTGGTGTCGGGCTGGTCCCGGCGCCGCGAATCGGAGCTTGCCATAGCTGTAATCGACCGGGTCACGCATGCGCGAGCAGTCTTCGCGCCGTTGAACAGCCACGCGCGACCCGGTCCCCGCCAGTTCCTCTCACCGCCATCTGAAAAAGATAATAGAACAAGATTCCGTAGCGGGGAGGAGGGCGGGTCGTGGAGCACCCACGGGGACACACCTCGAAGAACCATCGTTACTGCACCAAAGGTGAGTAACCTCTTCTTCTTCTTCGGGTAGTCCCCGTGGGTGCTCCACGTCTGGGGACCGCAGCCTTAGCCCACCGGCTCATTTAAAAAAAAAAAAAAAAAAAAAAGGAAGAAGAAATAATAAATTAAAATAATATAGAAATACAAAATAAACTGAAACCTATAAGGAAACGGGAGCAGAAGAACAACCTGCCATAGAGAGGGGCGTAAGACAAGCCCTCTCAGCCTTTTAATATGCTGGGCTCCCCCGGTTTCAAGAAATGCTCCGTGTGCAGAGAGTCTATGCCGCTCTCGGATGGCCACTCTGCATGTGTCCGCTGCCTTGGGGAGGCACATATTCCCCAAAAGTGCATGCACTGTGCCAAGCTTACCTCTAGAGCCCGCAAGGAGCGGGAAAGGCGGCTAAAAGAAATTTTGTTTGACAAGGCATTGATGCCTTCTACTTCGGCAGGATCCTCTGCCTCAGACCCCACTCTGGAAAAGCGGAGGGCTCCTTCCCCGAGTGCACCTTCCCCAAAGAGGAAGAGAGCCTCTCCTTCTAAGTCCCTGCCAATAGCCCCGCAGTCGCGGGGCAGCGCAGGAGGAAAGCCGGGTGCCTCTGGTTCCAGGGCAGCCCGTGCACCGGCAGGAAAAAAGCCGCCCGGCACATCAAAGCCGCGGCCGCAGCCGGCACCGCAGGAGTCCCTTAAAGGGCCAGCTACGTCGGCACCCACGCTCCCGGTGCCGATCACTCCAGCCTCCTCACGCAGCTCTCCTCGCAGGGAGCTGTCCTCAGCACCGTGCGCACCGCCGGTGCAGCCTATGGAAATGCCTGCCTCACGTTCTACTGAGCCTGTGACCCTGCAGCCCTCTTCTCAGGAGCAGCTCCCACCTCAGATCTCTATGGCACTATCCAAGCCAGGTGCTCAGGTGGTCTCGCTCTCACCCTCTCCGGAGGCATCTCCCCACCTTCCTTCTCAAGCTGATCATGCTCTGGGTCATAGGAAGCATTACAGTCGTAGTGTGTCTTCTCACCACCACCATAGGGACCGTAGTTGTTCGCATCACAGGCGCTCTAGGTCTCGGTCCCCTTCCAGACACATAACATACTCGTCACGGCGTTCGTACTATGACAGGCATGGCAGCGCTAGATCCTCTAAACACTCGTCACCTTCACACTCTGCTCAACATGCCTCGCATTACCGTAGCCGTTATTATGATGAAATTTCTCGCTGTAGTCGGTCGCGATCTCGCTGTAGGTCACCATGCTCCTGTCGTTCAATAAGTCCATGTTCCACACATTCTAGACATCAGGAACAGCCCTTGCGGAGGCCTGCATTACCCCCACGATCCCCGACCCCCAGGTCACAGCAGTCAGACCTGGAGGAGGGACAACTTTCTGAGTCAGAACCAGACAAGTCTCCTAATGCTAATTCTTCAGTATCTTCGCCTGTCAAAGCTATAACTCCGGACGAGACGTCACCCCCTGATGACCTAAAAGAGTTCCAAGATCTTTTTAGACGGGTAGCACAATCCCAACAGGTGCAGATTACTGAGACCCAAGGAAAACAGCATAAACTGTTCAAAAATTTGCACCTGAAACAACAGCGGAGGATTGCCCTACCGATAGATGAAGCCATTATGGAGGTGGCCGAAGATATCTGGCAAACGCCAACATCAGTGCCACCTACTAACAAAAGAGTGGACAAAAAGTATTTCGTTCCATCAAAAGGTCTGGACTTTCTTTTTAATCACCCCCAGTCTAATTCGTTGATCATCGATGCAGTCCGCCATAAGGCAAAGACTCCGCAATTTAGAAATTCCCTTCCGGACAAGGACTCTAAAAAGTTGGATTCATTCGGACGTAAGGTCTATTCTTCCTCAACCTTACTCCTCCGCATTGCTAATTACGCTGCGCTCCTATCAAACCATAATTTTGATAACTATTCCAAGCTTCCTGAACTCATGCAACACCTTCCAGACAGTAAGAAACCTCTTCTGAAAGCGATAGTTCAGGAAGGGTTCGCGGCATGCAGAACATCCCTTCAAATCGCCGCGGACGTAGCGGACACCTCAGCGCGAGCCATGGCTTCAGGCATCGCTATGCGTAGAGCCTCATGGTTGTTGTTGGCAGGAGCTCCTACGGAGTTACAGACCAAAGTCGAGGACTTGCCCTTCGATAAGCAAAAGCTGTTCGCTTCCACAACCGACGAAATTCTACACTCGGGGAAGGACTCACGTACTACCCTCAGAACTTTGGGTATGTACACGTCACCCTTCAGACAAAGGAGATACTATCCATTTCAAAGGAGGTACGACTATTCCTCATATAAGCAACAGCAGCGTGGACCTGAACAGCCTAAATTTCGACAGCGCCCGCAACGCAAACGCCAACAACAACAACAAAATCGTCCACCAACCAGACCTGCTCCTAGGCAGCAGGTTTGACTCCCATGCCAAGGACTCGAACATGCCTCCAGTGGTCATTACACAGAAGCGTGTTTCCAACACATTCAACCATCGACTGAAGCCATACATACATCAATGGGCCAGCATCACGTCGGACCGATGGATCCTAGAATTGATAACATCAGGCCTCTGGATCCCATTCATTTCAGTTCCCCCCACTACCTCCCAACCTTAGCTCTTACCGTGAACCCATCCCACGAGACCGTTCTTCGAGAAGAAATCCTTCACCTTCTAAGCATAGGTGCCATAGAACAGGTCCCGAAGGAGTTTCGCGGAAAAGGGTTCTACTCCAGGTACTTCCTGGTCCCCAAAAAGTCAGGGGGTTGGAGGCCAATCCTCGACCTAAGAGGTCTAAATTGCTTCATTCGCAAACAGCGCTTCAAAATGACCACGCTGGTCAAGATCATGCCGGCACTAAACAAAGGAGATTGGTTCGCAGTCCTAGATCTGCAGGACGCTTATTTTCACATCTCAATCCATGTGGCACACAGACGATTCCTCCGCTTTGTGGTAGGCAACAACCACTTCCAATTCAAAGTACTTCCGTTCGGCCTTATATCGGCACCGAGGGTGTTCTCCAAGACTCTAGCGGTAGTAGCGGCCCACCTACGCAGAATAGGAGTCGCAATTTTTCCTTACCTAGACGATTGCCTGCTCAAGGGTCGCACTCATGCGGAGACCTCTCACATGGTGACGGTCACTCTAGCCCTATTCAAATCTCTTGGCCTCGTTGTAAACACAGAAAAATCCCGACTGCAACCGACGCAGATCCTTACCTTCATAGGAGCTCGGCTAAACTCACTCGAGGAGCGAGTGCATTTGCCGGTAGAGCGTTTCCAGGTCATAAAAGACCTGGTGACAACGACTTTGCAGTCCCCTATGCTACCAGTCCGCGTATACCTGCAGCTCCTGGGTCATATGGCGGCTACTACGATCATCGTGCGGCACGCAAGATTAAATTTAAGGTGCCTACAGCATTGGCTGGCCACCGTGTACAATCCCCTCAGACACAGCATTCGCAAAACCGTGGTGATCCCCATGCAGGTCAAACAGTCCCTGCACTGGTGGGCCAACCCCAGCAACATGTTATTAGGGGTTCCGTTTCACGCTCCGCAACCCGTAAGAGAGATAACCACGGACGCGTCTCTCATGGGCTGGGGCGCTCACATGGGTACCGAAAAGGCTCAAGGCCGCTGGTCCCCAGCAGAGATGTTGTTGCACATCAACCTCCTAGAGCTGCGGGCAGTATTTCATGCATGCAGGTGGTTCAAGCGGCACATAAAAGGCACAACGACAAGGATTCTAACAGACAACATCGTAGCGATGTATTATGTGAACAGACAAGGCGGTGCTCGCTCCAGATCCCTTTGTGCAGAGGCA